ATTTAATATAAAATTATTGAACGATATAATACTTAATAAAAATTACACCGGTGTCGTTTGAACCCTCCTTTCTCTATATATATATATATATATATATATGATGCATTAAATTATATAAAAAAACATTTATCAAAAAAATTCTAAAGAAATGTTTCATTAATTATCCCTCCAATAATAATGATATTTTAATGTTCAACTTGACTTTATTTTCATAGGCCCCTTTAGATTATCTATAAATTAATTTCAAATTTAAATTCAATCTATATCATTTGTTTTTAATGGTTTATATTTTTTGGGTGAACTCATGTATCATCTGATTGTATTTTAAAAAAATCAATCACTCTGAATAGATATCCTTTCATATTTTAACTTAAAAATTAAATTGCTAATCACATGCTTAAATTTTATAGTTATCAACTAAACATACTATACCACGTTAGTATTTATTTTTTAATCATCGGTCATTTTCCATAAATTTTCTTAATACTTTTAAATTATAATAGTATTTAGCATGGGGCAATGCTGCTTTTGTCATTGCGTTACCTTTGTTTGAATGTACAAAGGATTAGGAATATATATATAAGAAGTGAGGGAAGAAAAATGAGTGAAAAAAATAATCTATTTAAATTGAGTGATCATAGCGTATACAGTCTCTTAGACTATATATTTTTAGTATATAGAATCTTGACAGTTGAAATTGATTGAAGAAATGATCATATAATAAATTGATTATAAAGTATTCATAAGATACATAACCTCTAAGAGTCTATATATTTTAGCATGTAGAATCTTGAAAATTGAAATCGATTAATAAATGATTACACATAATATCGATTAGAGTGATCATAGAATACACAATCATTCAGGCTCTATATACTTTAATATGTGGAGCCTTGACAACTGCGATGGATTAATGAATTACTATCATACATAACATTAATTACAAAGTGATCATTGACATAGGGTACATAAATCCTTAGACTTTATATCCTTCATCTGGAAAGGCATGATGGTTCCAAAAGAGGTGTGTTGCTTTTTCCCCTGCATTTCGTGTATCGTGCCTACAAACTTCCATTAACCCTTGGGCTAAAGATGTGTTTATTTGGACATGGTAGAGACTGATTTAGTTTGTCAACCTTGTGTAGATAAAGAGCCCATTTGTATCGGTGCTTTTCTCGGAGAAAAGGCCTTTACTTTTTGTTTACCAAATCCCCAATAGTTGTTAACAAGAAACGTCAGGTGGGGGAGGCTAACATTATCAAATTAGAGTCGACTGGGGAAGAGAATCCTAATAATTATGCTTACCTCGATGATGAGGTACAATTGGCAGAGCGCACCCTTTCCATATGCGTGGGAGACAAATGGGATCCTCAAGATCGTGGCAGAACAAGGGGAAAGGCCAAATCTTTTTGGGATTCTAAGTTTAATCACTCTTAGCGTAACCGCTTAGAGCATCTCTAACGGAGTTACTTATAAATAAGAGTGTTCATGAATCGGTTTTTTCAAAAAATCGATCTAAATCGAACCGAACCATTTTATAAAAGTGGATCAGTTAACCGATCCATTTTTTATAAAGTGGATTGATTTGGTTTTTTTAAAATATGGATCGGTTTTTTTGAAATTGGATCGGTTCGGTGCGGTGCAGTTATCCACTTTTTTACTCATATATGGATCGGTTTTTTTAGAAAACCAAACCGAACCGAACCGATCCACTTTATAAAAATGGATCGGATAAATAAACCGGTTTTATAAAGTGGTTCGGTTTGGATTTTTTTCAAAATGGATCGGATTTTTCAATATGGATCGGATCGGTTATGGATCGGTTCGGATCAATTTGGATTTTTTGCACACCCCTACTTATAAACAACTTCCTTTACTACATTAGTTCTGGCTCACTTTATGGTTGTTTAAATCTTAACAAAGTTGCTTATAGAAATAACTTTGATAAAATTTAAGCAACTCATAATTTGAGCTAGAGCTGATGTGGCAGTAATGTGGCACAGGGAATTGCTTATAAGCAACCCCCATTGTGGAGATTGCTTATAAGCAATCCCCTGTGCCACATCACTGCCACATCAGCTCTGGTCCACCTTATGGGTTACTTAAATTTTGGCAGAGTTGCTTGTAGAAGCAACTCTGCCAAAATTTAAGCAACCCATAAAGTGAGCCAGAGCTGATGTAACAGTGATGTGACACATGGAGTTGCTTATAAGCAACCCCCATTACAAATGCTCTATGTTCTATATGTTTGGTTAATAAATGATTACAAGTAACTTAGCATCGATCATAGAGTGATCAAAGGATACAGTTTCATTTTGTACAATTTATCTTCATACAATTGAGAATTTTTCTTTATACAATTGACATTTTCTTTAAAAAAATGCTAATAATAAACACATTAAATTTTGAAGTTATGACATATTAAGATTCAAATAATGGTGGTGTTTTAGGTCTATATGCAAGATTTTCTTGTCCTAGTAAAAGTGCCCTTAAAATGGCCTCACATAAGCCCCTATAGTATATAATTAAGTGGCCACCATCAGGAACTTCATGATAATGTATCCATGGCAGCTTCCCTGAAACAAATCTCTGGAGTTCAGAGGGCACAACCTTATCTTCGTAGCCATGCCAAATGTGAAACGAACTTCTATTTTGAGGAAATGGATTACTTAGCTTCATTGGATCAAATTCCCATTTTCCAAAAGCCACCTTCCAATCACGGCGAAGAGTGTCAAAAACAACTTGTTCCCTTAAACTGTCCTGCAAGTAGGAACATATCATGATAGCAATTACTTTCAAAGCATAAAAAATTATATACAAGACCCTTGTGGACTTTTTGGGTTCAAAATAGTAAGAGGAAAAACAAGGATATACGAAGAGTGAAATAAAAATAATGTAATTTATTATCATACTCTTGTAGTAAATAAATGAGTTCAAGTATTTATGATAAAGATAATTTAGTTAAATCATCAACTCGTAAACATGTGAAGTATCTACTAATTTAGTTTATAATTAATCTCTATCAGTAATTTTAATTAATCATTTTTAGTGAGATTTCTTATTTTAATAATTCTTTTTATTCACAAGAGTCAAATTCAATACTTTATTAAAAGAATCGCATCTATTTCCACATAGACTGATAGCCATTTGATAAATTTGGGTGTTTTATTTATCTTTTCTTAACCCAACAAAAGATTTGTGTAAAAATTCTTCCCTGGGGACCAAACACCATAAATTTACCTTGGTAAGCATTGGAAAGCCAGGAATTGTCTTGAGAATATCTATATCAGTTTTATTGAAGAAAGCAGGGTTCTTTTCTATGACAGCAGTTGAAGGGAGCCACTTTTGAGTGACCCACCAATGCAATAGTCTAGGCCAGTGATTTGCAAGCCACATGGACCAGTAGACAAGTTTCCTCCTGTAGTCCTCCCTTATCAGACTCTTTGGGAATGAAGGCCACCGGTAATTGATCACTGGGGCTATCAGTGCCAACCCTGCAAGCCTGCAAATTCTTTTTTTAACATAACTCACCCAAAACACTAAAGGTGAGGAGTTTGAATAGTATATACATTATCTAAGGTTCCAATTCAAACTCTTTTGCCGTCATTTCCTTCTGACAAAAACAACATGATTTTCTCAATGTTGCAATGCAATTTACCTGTGGGGCAAATACTTTAGACAACTCCAGCTAGCATATGAACCCATTGAGACTCCAATCACATAAAACTGTGGTCCTAATTGTAGCTGATCAGCAAGCTCTTCAATGTCAAGTGCTTCACTCTTCAATGAGCGTTTTGGGTTTGGATCACTTTCTCCATATCCAGCTCGGTCATATTGCAGAAGATATATACCCAATTCATCTATCAAGTCCTATAAATTGATCCAATGTGATTATCTTTTGTTTACAAATTAGAATTTTTGAATTGTTCACTGCCTACTTCCAAATTTGTTTGAGTGAGATCACTGAAAACATACTTAAAAATTTAAAACTTATAACCCACTACAACTAACTTGACAAACAGAAGAAAAAGAAAAGAAAATCATGCTAAACATGAATACTAGTAGACATCTCTTGTTTACATGCAAGTATTTGATCAACCATGTCTTTTGATTTGTATATAGCATCCTTTCCTCAGCATTTTGAACTCTTTTCACTTGTTTCCTTGCTTAATCATCAATTTTCCTCTATTGGTACTATGGTACTGTTCTAATTAATTAGATGATGCGAAGTATTTGGCAAAGAGAGATTAAGGCTATTAATAACCTGGGGTGCCAGAAAATTCATCTCTTTGGAGCTTCCAAAACCGTGCACAATGATGACTTTGTATTTTGCCATGTCTTTGGGGACTCCTCTCTCAATATATGAAAGGTGCCTCCCATCTCTGAGTTTGATTCTTGGTGAAACCACAGGCAAATCATCTAATGGATCATTATGGTTTGGAGAAAGTTGAGTGCCCTGATAAAACCATTGCCACAAAACACATGAATAACAACAATATTGTTGCTCCATAAACCATGAAGGAGTAAAGGGTAGATCTAGCAAGTATTTTTCTGACACACAGATATGCAAGAAGAAGAAAGCTTACCTGACAGAAACATCTGCAGATTTTCTGTGTCTGAGCGAGGGGGGTTTGTGTCAAAAATTTCAGATGATGTTTTACTCTTTTCATTAGCTCTAGAACTATAAATTTCAGATAAACTTTTTATGCACATCAATGGAATGGGAGCTGAATTTGGCTACCACCTCCTTAAAAATAAAAAAGGCTTGGAGTGCGTGTGTATGTGTGTTTTGACTTTTCGAAATCATTTCCCTGAGGATATGCTTTGAAAGGTTCCATATTAGGAGAATCTTTTTTGCCAAATGCTAAAATTTCATATGGTTTAACAAACAATTACCCACGTAGCTTTCTATTAAAGGCTGCTACTGAATACTCATTGTTCAGCAAATGTATTTTATTTTACACCCTCTTAGTAATTTTCTTTTAACATTTTCCGAGATATGCATCATATTTTCTAAATAAACTATTTGAACAAATGATTAAATTCTTTCATTTGTTTATCATTATTAATATTTTGGCTCCAGAAATTGTCCAAATTTTGATATGTAGAGTGACAGCATATTGTGGATCTGGGAACCCGGAATTGCAGTACATGGAGATTGTTCTCTTTTCTTAAATTAGAGGAAGGTAGCATTACTAATGGAGGCATGGGCAAAAATCTTTTCCCTTTTATAGATGAAGCATAGTATTATTTATTTAGTTTGGTAGGCTTGTAGTTGTATAAGCATCAGGTCATGAATGTTTTTGGGGTCTCTTTTGCTTTCAGGTCCACTATGACTATTACTTCATGGTTTATACCCACTCATATTAGGAATATTCTTTGGAGTTTCTTGCCGGATCTAACCATCTATCCAACATGAGTTTTTATCGGAAATAACGTAGATATTTGACAAATAATTGTTTATTGGTGATGAGGGCAGCAATTCAACGGTTTTTTTTTTAAATTCGAGTTTCCAATAAATAATTTTATTCGAATTAAATAGAATTAATGAGCAATTATTGATTTTTTTTAATATGTTAAAAAATTACACGAAAAAAGTTTTGAATTTAGAATATTGTACATATTATGCTCGATGTTTCACTGATATAATCGGTTTGATTTTACTACATTTAGCGAATTAGTTATATAAAAAAAGTTATTTTAAAGTCATTTTATAGTTCAAAATTAGTTTTGAATTGATTTGGTTTTAACTTTTAAATCATAAATCCATTTCGAAGTTAGTTTAATATCGATTTATGATTCAAAACCAATTTAGAAATCAGTTTGATTTTACTGCCATTTAGTAAACCGGTTTTGAAAATTATTTTAAAATTAATTTATGGTTCAAAATTAGTTTTAAGTTGATTTTACTTTAAATCATAAATTCATTTCGAAACTAGCTTTAATTTCAATATATATTATTCAAAACTAATTTAAAATTCAGTTAGATTTTACAGTTATTTAATATTTTTCTTTAATACCGGCATATTTTTTCTATAGCATAAAAGTTAACTTTTTATTTGTTTTGTTTGATTATAATATATATTTTCTAACTATTATGGTTGAGTGGGAAGAGGTTGGAATAGTTAGAAACAACTAATTATTTTTTGAAGTGTTCTTTATTTAAAATAAATTCAATAAAATAAGTGTCAGATTTTATCCTATCCAGATTTACAATAAAGTATCTTTATTTGACCAATTTATTTTATATTGTCTGTGTATCTTTATTTTCGAATATTCTTGATAGAAGAGGATTGTAACTAAAGATAAAAAGGGTCACTGATGCAATGCATAGGCAATTCTCAACGTACTTAATTTTATTCCGCATCGCATTCACAACACTGTAGTAGTCTATAATGTATAGACCAATGGTTTATTCCGCATACGAATTATGTTGTGAGAGTACAAGTTCTCTGATAATAGACTCGCATTCATTTTTCTTGAACATAAAAAGATGCCCTCCATGAGGAACCTCGTGATAACGAATCCACGGCAATTTCTCAGAGATGTAACGATTCACCATATAGGGAATTATTCTATCTTCAAAACCTTGCCACATGTGCACCGAACCATTATTATCCGGAAACGGGTTTGATATCTCCGTTGGGCCAAATTCCCACTTCCCAAAAGCAATCATAATGTCTCTGTGTAATGATTCATATTCACCTTGCTGTGTTATCCTCTCCTAAATACATGTTAAGACATATAGCAGCAATCATCATCAGAATCATACACACAATATGCCCTTATCACACTGCTATACCTTAGACAGTTATGCCTATAAAAATAGTCTCATGACAGATAAAACAAGATGTTTAAGTCTCGCAATATTTATAGATAAATTGATTATTACAAAAAATGTTTGATAGGAGTTTCTGGACCCAAAATGACAAGTGATTAGCTATAGTAGGTGTTGGTTCACTATCTTGATTTCTGTTCAAGTTGCATCCAAAAAGTTTTAAGTTGTACCGAAGAGATGTTTGAATAAAAAATTAAAAAAAAATTAATTGTCACAGTAGAGAGATGTTAAACGCATGTACAAGACGTATTTGACAAATATTGTGTCCAGACATGTCAAACAAGATAACAAGATCTTGCTTTATAGTTCATATATTTATTGAACTCTCTAACCACTAGATTGAAACAAATAGTTATATGACTAGATATAAGATTTAAATAGCGCTTGTAAAGTTTGAGATTGAATTTGGCCCAAATCCTAAATTCTACGGTCCTTATAGTTTTTCCAGTTTCTAAGAAATAACAAAACAAGATGATTTTATGTGCAATCCTAATAGTGTGTTTGGATGAAGAATTTTACAAATTCAAGGAATTTTAAATTCTTAGTATTTGAATTACTTTGATTTCAATTTCTATCATTCTTAAAATATTTTGTTTAGATGAGTCAATTCAAATTTTTTAAATTTTAAATTATTAGGTTGAATATGATAATTTGATTCTATCATAGTAAAATTGATTTTAAAAATATATTTATATGTTGAAATTTTTAAATTAAATTTTATAAAAATAAATATTAATCTATTTTAAATATTTAATAATTTTAAAAATTAATATTAGATAATATTTAATAAAAATTAATATAAGATAATATTTAATAATTTTAAAAATATTTTTGAATATCTAATAATTAAAAGAATGAAAAGATAAGATAAAATATATAGGTGAAATAAAAAAAACAAATATGAAGAATTTCAAATTCTCCTACTTTTGAGAGAAATTGAAATTATACTATTTTAAGAAATTTCACAAATGCTTAAATTTCAAATTCTTTGTAAATTCCTCGCTCAAACAAAACATTTCACTTCAAAAAATTTGAAATTCTTCAAATAAATGAATTACCCTATATAAATTCCTCGTCCAAACACACTATAACTGTTTTCCTCGGTAAATATAAATGTCAAAATAAAGTGAGAAATGCAGCTACCTGATCAGTGTTTGGCAAGCTCTTCACAATCTCCATATCATCAGTAGACAACAAACTAGTCAAAGTGAATGAAGGGAACCATTTTTGAGTGATCCACCAATAGAATAACCAAGGGGCATAATGTGCAACTCGGAAAGTCCATTGGTCTGAATGAGGTAGCATCAGAAATGCCTCTCTCAATAGATTATCAGGAAAAGAAGGCCACCAATAGCTTATACATGGAGCCACCATGGCTGCTCCATACAATCTGCCATAGGATATGTCTTATTATATATATATGATAATGTGAAAGAATGGAAAACAATAACATCACCAAAAGCAAAATGAAATAACATGCCTATGTGGAATGTATTTTAGGCAGCTCCAAACAGGGTAACCTCCCATGGATATTCCAGTTATATAAAATTTATGACCAATCTGCAATTTATCAGCTAGTTCTTGAATATCATAGGCTTCGCTCTTCACAGAACGTGATGAATGTGGATCACTCTCACCATAACCTGCTCTGTCGAAGTGGAGGAAATATATCCCATGCTCTTCCATAAGTTCCTACATATAACCAAAAATTCAACAATTTTAACACATCTACTTGTAAACTCCTACCACGTGCGGGAACTTAAATGTTTTATCCTCAATAATGTTTCATTTCTTATTTTCTTAGCAAGCATTACTAACGCTATATCGTTGGAATTCTTTTATAATTTTTTGTAAGCTGCAATCGGATGTAACTTTTAGTGTGGTTTTTTGACATATTTTTGTTACATACACAGGAGCTAGCATAAGTATATAAAAGAGCAAGTAGTTCATACTTGAGAAACAGGCAAATTTGTGTCTTTGGAACCGCCAAATCCATGAATGACAATAATCTTGTGCCTAGCTTCTTCCCTGGGAACACCAAATTCTCTATAGGCCAAATGTCTCCCATCACTGAGCTTCACTCTGGGGCAAGTGACTTCAGGACCCCCTACAGATCCACATATTTTGGGTGGTGGAGGCTTTATGGCCTTGTAAGCCCACCCCGTGAGAATCACCACCAGTGCCACTACTATTGGAATCACCATTGCTCTAAAGAGATCGCACCATCAACCTTATCATCCACTACATAATTCAATTCCAATCAGAAAACATAGACAACGGAATATATATATGTGTAGGAATCACAGTTACATAGTTCAAATTTACGATCATGTACATAATATTAAAATTCTAACCACTAAATTGATTTCATAGAAAACGAAATACTATTAAGAAGAAAGTAACATGTATATAAGTATATAACCATTTGGATTCCATGGTTCCGAATTCATGTGTATATCAAACAGCATGTCATGAAATTCATATATGATCAAAGCTATTTTTCCACAGTTTAGATTTAGGTTGTTCCATCTTTCCTTAATAAAAATAAAGCTAATATTTTTTTTAAGATTTTAAAATAAATTAAAAACTTAAAAGAATGCTTCCGTTACATGAAGAAGGAGGAAGAATCACACGGCCAGGAGAGTGGCACGTGGCAGGCAGCGAACCTCATCTGAAAGTGTGTTATTCACAGAGGATGAAGCGCCGGCACCGGCACCGGCGATATTTATCTAATATTTAAACCGAAAAATGAAGTTGAACATAAAATTTCAGACGATGGAGTAAGATTTATATACAAAGACAAACATAAATCTTATAAAACTAAAAAACTAATATAAAATTGTAAAGAGTGATAAAAAGTATATATAGAGAGGCAAAGAAGAAAGAAAAATAAAATGAAAAGAAGACCCCACCTCCTCCAGCAAAGGGCAAAGGAAGGAGACTATGGTTCTTTCTTCTCTTTCAAATACCAAAGTTCACTCACTACATAAATAATAAATAATAAATAAGAATATGTACCAAGTTGTGACATGTGAACTAGTGAGGTAGGGTAGCATGTTAGTGCATGCCATTGCACGTTTTTTTGGAGCACCGACAACATTCTATATTAGGATTTAGGGAACTTAAATAAACTGCTTATTCATGCCACCGCTTATTTTCATACTCTATATAATATAAAATTTAATTGTTCCTTATTAGTTCTCATATTAAAAAATTTAGTCATACATTAAAAAAATATGTTTTATAAAAATCATTAAATAAAATAAAAATAGTTAAATTTATTTATATTTATAAAAAAAAAGATTCTAATAATAGAGAATAGGTAGAATATTTCAGTACTCCTTATAATATGATATTTAATTTTTTTTAATCATGACAATTGGCATAATAGTCAGGACATTTATATTATATATTAAGAAAATTATGTTTAAGATAACATTATAATTTATTTATAAAAAATAATATTATAATTTAAAAATTAGTTTTATTTCATCATCAAAAATTCACTCCATTGCTTTTTATTAAATGTTATAATCATTATGCATTTTTATATATAATTAATGTAATTAAGTCAAAACTTAATTACAAAGTCTAAAAATAATTTTTTATTCTTGAATTTGAATAATTATTTATTTATGAATTGCTTTTAATTTTTAAAATTACAATAATTTAAAAGTAATATAATTAATGTTTTAATAAATTCTTATATTCATGTATTATTATATTATGTAATTACATAATTAATAGAATTTTAATTATATTATAAAATTTGTATGTAAATATATGTTGGAGAGAAATTTTTGAAATAAATAATTGTTACGAAAATTATTCAATTTATATATTTATATATATATTAGTAGAGTTGAAATTAAAATATAAAATGAGATTTAATTTTAAGATATTGAAAATATTTTTAGTTGAAAAAATAGACTGGATCAAAGAATAAAACAAATAAAATTGTGAGTTTGTGACGGTAAAATGGTGGAATTATTTTCGTAAAAACGACAACCAACAAATTACTGTGTTGATGATGAAAATCATTTGTTTAATTAGGCAAGGATTTCACAAAAATTTGTTGTTTAGTTCTGTTTAAAAAAATTGGTCCTCCACTCACTCCAACAAGGATCCTCTGCAACAAAATCTCTCTGCAGTCACCATGTTGCAAAATCTGAACCATCGATTGGTTGTTGTAAATTTTGTGCCGTTGAGAAGTTTTTCCTTTACTTTATTAAAAAATCTTTTATCAGTAATTTCTTAACTTATTTTTTTAATATTTTTTTTTTAATTTTCTTAAATAACTCCACCCCCATTTTATTTATCAAACTAAGCTAGTTACTATTTAAGATTTGGAAGGAAATTGATTTCTCACCTTTGAATTTTTTTTTGATAAAAATGGAAAAGATTACAAAGATGGTCGCAATAAGGATTAAACTTATGTCTTCATGCTTCTAACTATCATAACCCCTCCCTACCCAACTACTAAGCTAACTCTAGTGGTTATCACCTTTGAATTTCAGATCTCTTCTTATTTTATATATAACACAGATATCGATTGTTAAGAAACCGATTTCTCATTAGGTTTTTTTATTTTTATTTTTTTGTTTTTTCAATTTTTGTTAAATTTTTTAATTTTAAAATTTATTTTAATAAATTTATAACTAAAATTTAATTTAAAAATATTAATAT